TACACCATACATAGTTATTATAATATTAACTATATTCGCTATGCTGTACTTTACATCTCTGTGACTATTCTGTACCTACCAATTTGTACTTCTTAATCCCTTCACCTTTTTCATCCATCCTCCCAACACCCTGCCCATCTGGCAACCATCAAAATGTTCTCTGTATCTATGGGTCTGTTTCTGTTCTGCTTATTTACCTATTTGGGGGTGTGTTTTTTTTTTTCTGATTCAATTGTTGACAGATATGTATTTATTGACATTTTATTTATTTTTGTATTGTTTTTGTATTCTTTTTAAAGACCCTTTAACATTTCATGTAATACTTACTGCTTGGTGGTGAACTCCTTTAGCTTTTTCTTTTCTGGGAAACTATCGGTCCTTCAATTCTAAATGACAGCTTTTCGGGGAAGAGTAATCTTGATTATAGACCCTTTCTTTTCATCACTTTAAGTATCTGTTGAGAAATCAGCTAAATGTCTTAAGGGAGTGCACTTGTAGGTAACTAACTGCTTTTCTCTTGCTGCTTTTAAGATTCTCTCTTTGTCATTAACATTTTGCTTTTAAATTATGATGTGTTTTAGTGTGAGCCTCTTTGGGTTCATCTTGTTTGGGTCTCTTTATACTTCCTATACTTGTATGTCTGTTTCTTTCACCTGGTTAGGGAAGTTTTTTGTCATTATTATTATTTTTTTTTACATAAGTTTTGAATTACTTGCTCTCTCTTCTCCTTGTGGCACCTTCATGAGGCAAATGTTAGTAAACTTGAAGTTGTCCCAGAAGCTCCTTATATTATCTTCTTTTTGTTTAATTCTTTTTTCTTTTTTGCTATTTTTATTGGGTGTTTTCTGCTTCCTTATCTTCTGAATATCTGATTTGATCCTCTACTTCATCTACTCTGCTGTTGATTCCCTGTAATATATTCTTCGTTTCATTTAATGTGTTCTTCATTTTTGACTGCCTAATTTTTATGTTTTCTAGTTCTGTTTTTATGTTTCCTATCTCTTGGTTGAAGTTCTCACTAAGTTCATTTATTCTTCTCCTAAGTTCATCGAGGATTCTTATAACCAGTGTTTTGAACTCTGCATCTAGTAAATTTCTTGTCTCTATTTATGTTCTTCCATTTGGGACATGTTTCTTTGTCTCCTCATTTTGGCAGCCTCTCTATATTTGTTTCTATATATTAGGTAGAGGTGCTATATCTCCTGGAGTTGGTAGATGGGCCTTATGTGACATTTCCTGTAGGGTCCAGTGGCATAACCTCCTTGTTTATTAGGGCCGCGCTCTCCAGGAACATACCCCATGTGGGCTGTTTACACCCTCCTGTGGTTTTATTGCTGTGGGACATTAGAGAGAGGGATTTACCCCCAGGCAGATCAGCTGCAAAGACTGACTACAACCACCGCAGAGGATCAGCTGTGCAGGGACCCACCCCATGGAGCAGGACTTACGCAGCAGGCTCTGGTTCCTGCTAAGTCTACCCCTTGAGTGTGTTGCTTGTGGAGGTGGTTGAGTGGTACTTTGACATGGTCTGAAGCTGACTACTAGGTGTGCTGGCTCTGAGGCCTCCTGGGAGGTGCCAGCCAAGGTCAGCCCCAACTGTTTTCTGCCCTGGGCCATCAGCTAAAAAGTAATCTACAGATTACTGCTACTTGTGCTGGGTTAGGAGGTGCCCAGGAGAGGCCAAACTGTAGTGGACTTGTTATTAAAATAATATCATATATGTGTAAGTGTTCTAAAAGAGAAAAGATTGATTTAAAATTCTTTCAATGATTGCTGTATCCATTTCAATTTGTTAAATAGTTAAAACCATGATTAACTTATAAAGGAAGAATTTTCCATATGCTTCTGAGAATATAAACTCTTGCTAGTCCCTAAATCCTAGTGATGTAATTTTGCTTATGGTTATGGGCTTTTTGTGAAAAATCCAAAGACAAATAAGTAAACTCTTATACCAGAATAAATTGGTGGCAGAAAAATATTATAAAATTTAGCTTTCACAGTTACTGTAATCTAACCTTGTGGGACATGAGAATACATATTTAAAGACCTCCTTAAGATGATTTTTTTAAAAAAACAACAACATTACCTCAAAAGATATTTAAATATTTATAACATAAATCTATTCAATGTCCATCCTATCCTCTGCAATGACAAAAAATATATTTGGCTTTTCATAAAAATAACTTCAAGTAACCTTTAAAATTTTTAATTGTAAGTTAAAAATATTTTGTTCGTCTAGAAGAAAACAGTAGCTATTTTAGCCTCAATATTTCTTTACTATAAAGTACTTTACAAATAAAATGTTTCTAAGAGCTTTTTCTAAAGATGGACGTGAAGGAGATCAATATACTCCTTTAATGCTACAACAGTCACAAATAAAATATTTATCATTTAAAAGCTAACTAGCTAAACCTAAGTCATTAAAAAAAGTAATTATATTCTCAAGAGAATAATCAGTGCCTAATAAGAGATACTGCAGGTTGCTGATGAAAGAAATATATTTACAGGCAAATTAAACTTTAATCTTTTTTTTTTCACTAAAACTGCATTTTTTTTCTAGAATTTTTATGATAGTAAAACAGTAACTTTCAATGTTTGTTAAATTTTTACTTAGTGATGGGCAATAGGTGCTAGAAGTGTGAAAACTTATTCACAACAATCTTTTCATCACCCATGACCCAGTGCATGGTGGTAGCTGTTTTTATAACTGTCCGTTTCAATAACGAGGCATCTCAGCCTTAGAGGAGTTACAGGCCTCACCTGAGGACACAGAGCAAGCAGTAAGTGATGGAACCAGCATTTTCTGATTCCAGATCCAGTGCATTTAAGTACAAAGCCAGATTTTATACTTAAAAAAAAAAAGTAAATGAGGATTTATATAATGGACCAGATATATCATCTGTGAGAAGTATTGCTGACAACTGTGTGTACATTTCTGCACGTGAGAGGAACATTAACAAAATAGAGGAATGACTAGTTGAAAGCTGGAAGGTCATAGAGTGAATCTATCCACCCGGGCGAAGGCCCAATTGGACATACATTTTCAGCTATTCTTTTTTGAGCTTTGGTTGTTGAATCGTGTGCAGTATATCCGAAATAACTACCAATAAAGTAAATGCTGACATAAAACTTAGTCATTCTGCAGAAAAGTATAGTAGCATTCAGACAGGTGTGACATATTCAAGATCGGCCGTGGAATGGTAAATTCAAAATGAGAATAATTATGTTGATTCTTTTGGACAAAAATTTATTTGAGTCATTATTAAAATGTTTGACCTAATTTTTTAAAAAAATGACAGAAAAAGTTTGTTTTACATATAATATTCAGAAGTGATTTTCTCAAAATTCAAATTTATACCTGTTTCTGTATGTTCCCCTTCTGCTCCCCATCAGTTACTTGGCAAGCATGCCATTATGATCTGGACAATACATTTCCCTATCATCATTCAAGAGAAAATTATAATTTTATAGTGTTATACAAACAAATTTTTACATAATCACGTTAAAAATTATTTTATTTTTTTAATATATTTTTGTTACAGATTTTTCTCCTTTTTCCCCCATTGACACCCTCCTCCTGTTCTTGCCTCCCCCCAAAGCATTGTTGCCTGTGTCCATTGGTTATGCATATATGCAAATAAGTTCTTTGGTTTATCTCTTCCCTCCCCTTTGCCCCCTCCTCTGAGATCTGTCAGTCTGAACCCTAGTTCTATGTCTCTAAGTCTATTTTGTTCATCAGCTTATTTTGTTCATTAGATTCCACAAATAAGTAACATCATGTGATACTGGTCTTTCTCTGACTGACATTTTGCCTAGCGTAAGAGTCGTTTTAATTAACTCTATAAAATGGTCCTATATAATCCCTGTTTTTTTTTCCGCTTTAAATAACACATTATCACCAGTTTAATCTGCTTTCTTTCCATTGCATTTACTTTCCTATCTATATGGTTATAGTTGCATAGTCTACTCTTGTCTTCAACCACAGACTTGCAACATTACATTTATTTTTGCTATACTGATCCCTCTGGCCATTTCTGCTTTGTCAGTCATCACATTCCATCCTATTCTCAATCACCTTTAAAAAAAAAAAGTTTGTATTGATTTTTTAGAGAGAGAGGGAGGGAGAGAGAGAGAGAAAGATCGATGTGAGAGAGAAACATCAATCAGCTGCCTCCTGCACACCCCCTACTGGGGCATGTGCCCTCACCAGGCATCGAACGGGACCTCTCAGTCCATGGATGATGCTCAGTCCACTGAGCCACACTGGCCGGGCCTATCACCTTTTTCATGGATACTTTCTGTGTGGCTTTTGAGGTTTCCTGCAACTACATACCAAGGACAACTGGCTCCCATTTTGCCCTATGTTCACAAAGGTCATAAGTACCCTAACTCTCTTAAAGTTTGCTTCTAGTCTAATGTGATTTGTTAAAATAGTAATGAGAAAAAATACAAGTACACATTTATTCTACAAGTGCTTTTAAAAATATTCACCCACAGATATTTTAAAACATATTCTCTGTCAAAGCAGAGTGCTTCGAGCCATCGTTTGCAAATTCCAGTTTTAACACTAAAATAATTCCGTAAAGAACATTCATTTAACACTTTTTTTACAGGAGTTTTGACTCTATTTTTCTTTTAAGAAAGCGATGATCTATTAGGGGCTGTGGCTTTCTGACAGAGTACAGCTACAGATATAATAATATTCATTATCTTTTCCACAGGGAATCAAGAACTCTACTGGGAAAAAGAGTTACTTAAGAGGTTTTATTTTTAAAAACATTTGTAAAAAACAGTTTAAAATACTACCATGTCAGTTGCTTAAAATATTGTTTGAAAACCAGAGACTAGCTCTCAACAACCGTGAAATTGAAGTCTTCTAGGGACTCTCCCTTTCTTGTCTTTAGTCGATGATTTCTCAGGTAAGATTTATTTTTAAAGTAACTGTCTAATCTTTTCTACTGTGAGGTTTAATGACATTTTTTATTTATTATTTTTTTAAGACACACTTTTTAACGGTCTTGGGCTCGGAGCGGTCATTGGCCTGGGAGTCGCTGCCCTCTTGCTAATCCTTGTGGTGACAGATGTCAGCTGCTTCTTTATTCGACAATGTGGGCTGTTAATGTGCATCACCAGGAGAATGTGCGGGAAGAAAAGCGGCTCCAGTGGCAAAAGCAAAGAACTGGAAGAAGGAAAAGCTGCGTACCTGTGAGTAGCTACATCACAGAAACAGATGCCAAGGTCAAGCTTGAGTGCTTGACTCAGGCTTTGTTTTTCTCAGCACAGTAAAGAGCTTATAAAACCACTGGGCACGGGTCTGGCTGGCTTTGTTTTTTTGTTTTTTTTTTTATCTTGGCAAGAACAGGTAATTTTTTTTAATTAGTTTGTTTTTGTTACAGATGTTTCTCCTTTCTCCCTCATTGACACCCTCCTCCCCATCTCCCAGCCCCATCCCCAGCTTTGTTGTCTATGTCCATGGTTACACACACATGCATATAAGTTCTGTGGTTTATCTCTTCCCCTCCTATCCCCCCTCCTCTGAGGCTTGTCAGTCTGTACCCCACCTGGATGTCTCTGGGTCAATGGTGTTCATCAGTTTGTTTAATTCATTATATTTCACAAATAAGTGAGATCATGTGATATTTGTCTTTCTCTGCTTGGCTTGTTTCACTTAGCATAGTACTCTTTAGGTCCCTCCATGTTGTCTCAAAGGATAAGAGATCTGTCTTTCTTATAGCTGCATAGTACTCCATTGTGTATATGTACTACAGCTTTTTTATCCACTCATCTACTGATGGTCACTTGGTTTGTTTCCAGATCTTAGCGATTGTAAATAGTACTGCTATGAACTTGGGGGTACATATATTCTTTCTGATTGGTGTTTCAGGCTTCTTAGGGTATATTCCTAGAAGTGGGATCACTGGGTCAAATGGCAATTTAATTTTTAACTTTTTGAGGTAACACCATAGTGTTTGGCTGTCCTCTGATCTTAAATCTATATGACCTTAAATATAACGTCTTATAGAGCCAAATGACTTTGTAAACAGAGTACTGTATTGTTTAAATCCTTTAAATGGGATCCACGGTAAAAAATTGATTGTCATGATTTAATTTTTAAGAAATTTTATTGATTTTAGAGAGAGAGGAAGAGTGAGAAAAAAATATCAATTTGTTGTTCCTCTTATTAAGCCTTTGATAATTGATTTTTGTATGTGCCCTTACATGGGATTGAAACCATAACCTTGGTGTATATCAGACACACTCCAATCAACTGAGCTACTGGCCAGGACTGCCATTATTTGAATATTAACAGGTAGATAAGTAAGCAGATAGATGATAGATGATAAATAGGTAGATGATAGATGATAGATAAATAGATAGATAGATAGATAGATAGATAGATAGATGATAGATAGATGATAGATAGATAGATAGATAGATAGATAGATAGATAGATAGATAGATGATAGATAGATAGATACAACCATACAATTATATTTGGTTATGATTTCCCTACCATTTCTCAGTTTATATTGAATAAAAAAGATACTCATCAGTGGTAATCTGAGTTAAAAACTAAGTTAAACTGAGTTAACAGAAATTGCACCAATGCCTACAATTGAAAGAAGTGACTACATATACATGTTCCAAAATTTTCTGTATAGAAAATGTAAGTTCTATGTAATATATTATTATAGATTTTGAATTTACTCTCCCAAATTTTGATCAAAAGAAGACTATATGTTAGAATTTGGAGTTATCTGTGGCATTTCATTTAATTATACAAAATATGAGTTCTGAGAAAATATGCAGAGCTGAATTTTGTAGAAAATTTTCTTGTCATGTAAAAGAGTAATTAAGAAGTTTTAATATTTATTTTTGTTCTGTGGTCTTTAGATATATTTGTATCTAATCTCAAAAGTACAAGAGTAATTCATTTTTATTGTTTAGTGTTTCTATTTGTTTTTCTATACAAATATCTAGGCATATATGATCTCATGTATTATTTTCTAGGCTTTAGGAATATAGGAAAATTTATTCTGCATGGTTTTTGTTCTTTTTTATCTTCAAGCCTATTTCAATATTACTAGGCAATTTGTCTTTGACTATTTCCCATGGATACACTGTAAAGATTTTTTTTCACTTCAAGAGATGCTAAATTTGAGAATATACATTTTCAGTTCAAAGAAATTAGATTCTATTTGCAATAAAAATGCCACCTGCTTAATTGTTGGACACAGAACATAGCAAAGAACAAACAGAAATTAGGCTCTATCTCACATTTGAAGTGGATATTAATGTGTGACAGTAAATTCAGTGGAATCAATTCACCATTCAGTATCTTTTGCTTTCCTCATGAGAACATGCTGTGGTTTACATGGTCTTACTCACTAACTAAACATATCATCCAACTTAGTTTTAGCTACTTTTTCATGTTTTGAGAAAATAATATATTATATTATGAAATTATACATATTTACATAAGATATATACATATGTAACTCAAAGATAAATGCTATACATTTTCATCTTGTTCAAAGATTGAGCAAACATTAATTAGGAATAATTACCACGTAACAATCACTGCTGTGCAATCTAGCAATAAAGCTATGAACAAAAGAAGCAAGAAAAAAATAAACTAGCCCTGGCCAGTTTGGCTCAGCGGTTAGAGCGTCGGCCTGCGGTCCGGAGAGACCCGGGTTCGGTTCCCGCTAAGGGCACGTACTTCGGTTGCAGTTTGTCCCCGGCCCTGGTTGGTCGTGCGGGTGGCAGCCACTCGATGTGTCCCTTCACGTCGATGTTTCTCACTCTCTCTCTCTCTCCCTCCCCCTCTATCTGTACAAAAAATGGAAAAATATCCTCGGGTGAGGATAAAAAGAAAAAAGAAAAAAATAAACTAAACATTGACTAAAATGAAAATGTGTAGTAGTGGAAAACTAAGAAAAATGAAAAACATAATGATAAATTATTACTAGAGATTAGGTCATTGCAGATTTCTCAATGGAAGTAAAACTGACGCTGAAGAGTAGAATGAAAAGGAGTCAGCGATATAGCAGTGAGGGAAGAGCATCTTATTGAAGTGCAACAGTAAATACAATGGCCCCTAAGGAATAAGCTTACTGTGTTGCAGGGACAAATAAACATGAAGGCGTGAGGCAGAGAGACTGGTACACATGTCAGGTCAGAGGATAATCTAGGGACCAAGGTATTAAATCTTCTTGGGTCAAAGTAAATAATCACTTTTTTCCTAATTGAAAGTTTTTAAAGAAGATTTATTACTTTAGCTACTGATGAAGAATGAAATACTGGGAGGTTGCAATACAGAAGTCTAGAATTAAGAAGACCAGGTAGAAGGATCTTACCTTCATGCTTTTGTCTTAGCTAACTGGAAGGATATTGGTGGCCATGGGCAAAACAAAAAGGTATATTCAAGTTCTGCTGTTTCTTTTTACTTGACTATCGTTTGTTCATTTATCCACCACCACTTCTGTTTGTACATCCTGCTGAGTTTAATCAACCTTAAAGACTTGGCAAGATGAAAACACATGGTTCATCCCGTGCTTTTTATCCATGCATCATAATTTTGTAGATCACAAAAAGAGTTTGAAAAAACTCTTTTTCAAAGCTTCATAGTTCTAGTTGGAAAAAGATATATAAAATCTCAATGAGAAATAAGATCTAACAGCTATATTAAATAACATACTATACTTCAATATTGTGGAAAATTTTACTCCTACATTGTGTCCAGTGCACCACCACTGTGTCCTTTCTCACTCCCTCACCCTGAACCCCTGGTGACCACTGATCTTTCTGCTGTCTTTATAGTTTCCCTTTTTGAAAATAGCATATAGTTGGTATTACACTATATCTAGCCTTTTCAGACTAGCTTATTTCCCTTCACAATATACATTTAGAGTTCTTCCATGTCATTCTGTAGCTTGATAGTTCATTTCTCCTTATTGCTGAGTATGTATGGCTGCACCACCGTGTATCCATTCACCCATTGACAAAGACAGCTTGGTTAGTTCCAATTTTTGGCAAGTATGAATAGAGTTTCCATAAACATTCATGTGCAGATTTTTTTGTATGGGCATATTTTTTCAACTCATTTGGGTAAATACGGAAGAGAGTATTGTGGATTTGCATGGGAAGAGTATGTCCCCGGCTACTTGAAGGTCCACATCCCTTCCTTAGTTGGTGGGGAGCATATCTGCTCTCTGTATTATGAGTGCATCATTTCCAGCCCTTATATCTCACCTACCCTTCATCATCAAAAAATACCTTTCTTGTTTTTCTTACTTTTACTTTATTTCTTGAGGTATGCAACTTTGCAATAAACTTTACACTTTCACAAGTATGGTAAATAACACACTCTCATTTTTTAGACATCTGATAAAAATGATGTGACTATGAAATTATAAATGAAAATATCTTGCCTATATGTTACAGTATTTTTTAATTTAAACTATTTTATTGAAAACGTGAATATGTTAAAAGTCAGTGATCGTATAGTTAAAATCATTCAAATAAATGTATACAGACATTTAAAACAATAAAAGATAACATATAAATTTTATCTTTCAAATTTTGAAACACAATTTTGACAGAAAAATATTTGTAGACAAAACCGAATTTTTTATTTCTACTTTCTCTGAGTAAAAAACTCTGGAGAGATGAGTCAAAATGCAAAAAAAGAAAATTATTCTTAGTGGTGCTCTCAATCTGACCATGTTGGATTTATTGTGAGCAGGTGGGATTAGGTGGAGACCGTAAAATATATTTCATAATGCATCCCTTTTTACAATATGTCGGTAAGAATTTTTTTCTTTATCTTTCTAGGAAAGATGGATCCAAAGAGCCGATAGTGGAGATGAGAACAGAGGATGAAAGGATCACCAACCATGAAGATGGAAGTCCAGTAAATGAGCCAAATGAAACCACACCACTAACAGAACCCGAGTACGTAGTCTAAAATGCTTCAAAATATTTTGATAAGTATTTCTAAAGGTATAACACAGCATTAATTTTTAGCAGGCCTTTTCAAGTGTAACCATTTATAAAAAGTGTTATGAAACCATATATGAATATCTAAAATCGCTTTTTTTCTTCAGATATTTCACAAGAAATGTTTGTATCATGTCAAAGTCAACTGTTCAAATATATGTTTATAATTTTATACAAAAATGTCAAAAAGACAGATTTTTTTACACTAATCTTACTCTTTAAGAAAGATATGCTTGGAAAATGTGACTGATTTTTATTGAAATAAAGACGTGTCAAGAAATTAGTCATTGCTTTGAACATAAATATCACAGTCTAAATAGAAATAAATATTGTGAAATATACCCAAGACTTTTTAAAAGAATATTTGTAAAGAACAGTAAGAAATACTGTTAAACTGTCATTTTTTAATGTTTATATAGTCAATGGTGCTTGGTCTCCATTCAAGATTATGGTATTTACTTATTTTTTGCATCCATCATAACTCCACTAAAACCATAGCAGTTATTTTAACTACACCTTTAAAGAGTCTGAACATGGGCCTTGATTCATGTACATAAAAATTAAAATGATTCAAATCAAAGGCATTAATAAGACGTAGTAATAGTAATATTTCATTGAATGCATTTAATACTAATAGAACCATGACTATCACACTATTCTTTAAATACTGTTCACCAAATTGACTTAAAATTTTTTTTTCAGCCTGGCCGGTGTGGCTCAGTGGTTGAGTGTTGACCCATGCACCAAGAGGTCGTGGTTCAATTCCCAGTCAGGGTACATGTCTAGGTTGTGGGCCCGATCCCCAGTGGGGGGCACGCAGGAGGCGGCCAGTGGATGTTCTCTCTCATAGATGTTTCTAGCTCTTTCTCCCTCTCCCTTCCTCTTGCTCTAAAAATAAATAAAGAAAAAAAAAATTTAAATAATTAATTAAAAAAAAATTTTTTTTAAACAAAAATTGTTATTTCTTTGTCAAGTAACTTTCCTTGCAGAAAAACTTGATTTAGGCTTCTCATCCTAAATCAAATTCTGAGTGTTGTCATAGCTGAAGAAAACAATTTGTTTCCAAAATCCCCTCTATTTGCTCTCAAGGGGTTGAAATGATTGATATTTAGACAAACACAAAGTATTACTCTGTAGTTACATTTTTAATATGAATCCTCAGGACATTTTTAGTGATTGCATTTAGAATTCCTACCTTCTGATTTGAAGTTAACTCGAGCAGAAGCAGCAGGCACAAGGTGGATCTAGAGTCTCTGCTTCAGAAGTAAATCTTCCTCTCTTTCTAAAATCAATAGAGAAAAAAGCTTAAAAAGACTTAAAAAAAAAGAAAGTGAATGATAACACACATAGTACCTGAAGTTAAAGTTAAAGATGTATTTGTAATCCTTTTACTCTTTTTTTTAATCCTCACCCGAAGACATTTTTCCATTTTTTGTTCAGATAGAGTCGGAGGGGGAGAGAGGAACAGAGAGAGAGAGAAACATCGATGTGAAAGGAACACATTGAGTGGTTGCCAACCACATGACCCAACCAGGGATGTGGACAAACTGACACCAAGGTACGTGCCCTTAGCGGGAACCAAACCTGGGTCTCCCTGGACTGCAGACCGACGCTCTAACCACTGAGCCAAACTGGCCAGGGCCCATTTACTCTTTATGATATATCCCATGGAGCATCAACGATCAGAACATGATATTTTAAAAGTTACATACTAAATTATTTTTATTCATTTTTATTTTTTACCCCTGTGGGGCTTAAAAACTAAAAAAAAAAAAAAAAAAAAAAAAATTCAATTGCTATTTACATTCAATATTATTTTTCATTCATTTCAGATGTATAGCATAGTGATTGGAAAATCATGTACTTTATAGAGTAATTCTAATTCACTATGTGTGAACTATAACATTGGGCAAATTTGTAAATATATTAGTGTTGAAAAAGTGTGTTATTACATCATAGGTAACAACTGGAAACAACTCTCAAAAAAATGCTCATAAATGATACACAAGTAAAAAGAAAATAATAATAGTGAATAAAGACTAAAGAAAACAGTAAATATAAAAAAAAGTAAGAAAGCCCTGAAATATGCTTATTTGCATCAAGTTCCAAAGAATATTGCCTATTCATCCAGCTTCTAAGGTTCATGTAACAGAATATGGCAGCAAATTTGATTGGTTTTACTAGAAAAACAAGTATTAGTAAATCATTTCCTGGATATATAAAAATGCCTTAATTTTTTACCTTCCAAATATTAATGATATTTTTAATATTACCAACTCATTATCAAATGTAAGCCACTCAGTAATGAATAATTTGGTACATCTAAATTTATGAATGTATCGTTTTATCATTTTGCATCACATCACATTTTTACATTAGACAATACTCCTTTGTTCTCTTTTAGATTATGTTTTGTCAGTCTGATAATACTTTAACAGATCTTATCATTTTATTCTAATAATTGTAACATATTTTCTTCTACAGAACAGCAACTTATATGTTATGGGATCCCACTTAAAGTGCCTTAGCAAATGAAGTTTACTATTTCTATATTTCCTTCCAGAAAATTGCCTTTAAAAGAAGAGAATGGGAAAGAAGTCCTAAATCCAGAAACTATAGAAATTAAGGTTTCTAATGACATCCAATCAAAAGAAGACGACAGCAAAGCATAACACCAAGATGGCAGAGTCTTGAGCAATGCTACAAGGAGCATTTGGATTGCAGTGACCCTATTACCAAAACTATTCCATTGACCTTAATTTCTTGGGAAAACTTCTAGCTTGGAATAGCTTGTACACATATACATATGATCAGATACTCCCGCCCATGGTCCATTTCCTTTGTTGTTGTTGTTGTTGTTATTGTTGTTGTTTATTTTGTTAAGAAATTCTATATAGAGACCTGACTGGCACCAATGCTTGGGTATCAATTTGACTCTCTGGTTGAAGAGCTGCAGTTAGATGACTACAGAGTCCTGCTTCTTAAGAACTATACTTCATACCACGACCTCTCCAACAAAGAGGAGTTTAAACAAAACAAACACACAAAGTGTTTGTGAGCTAAATGGATAAGAGAGCCCTGCATGTTTTGAATCCTATCTCGGGCAAATAGAGTAGTAAGCTGGATTTCAGCTGGAGATGCAAACACTTAATAAAGGCTATACTTTTTTATCAGGAGAATTTCAGGGCACCTGGGCTGGAAGAAGCCAGCTATCTTTAGCAGATATTAAAAATGAGAGAAACTTTGGCAAACTCTTTTTAAGTTACAATTACATTGATTTTTGATAGACTAAAGTGCCAAATTAAAATTGTTATCCAGTTGAATGAATATTAGTTATATGTAAAAATAGATTAGAAAGATGCCGTAAATCTCTCTCTTTCTATATGCCATATTCACTCACAATGGATTACACACAAAAAAAATATATGTATTGCAAGTGAAAATAATATTGACTTCTGCCCTCAGCTTCAAGTAATAAAGTAAATTGAAATGGGAACGATATCCATGTTGTCTTGATATATTTATAAATATGTGATTATCTTTTACTTTTAAATAATTTTATCAAAAAACAGGTCGTTAGCATTTCAATACTTTAAACCATATCTTCAAATACATATTTTACCCATCGTTTTTGATAATTGTTTTTATGAAAATTTGTTTTTCAGGTGATATAGGTCAATCGTAGATGTAATTGGCTAATGGAAGTTAAAATCCTTAGTTTGGTTAAATCAAGAAGTTACCATTTAAACATGCCATGAACGTGTCAACGCTAAACAACTGAATTACTGCCATCTTTTTATTCTGGGTGTTGTAGCTAGAAGTCATTTTAAGATTTTGATAAACAACTTTGGTTGACGAAATCCCGTAACTATTCAACACAAACTTTCAAATATTACTCGTTAGGGCCTATCCCCAAATAAAATACTTATTAATTTCCAAGCTATGCAAGCTCCCAGGGGTAAAGGACTGAAACATAATTTTCAGTTATATATAAGGTAAAAAAAAAAAGTATTTATGATTATAAATATACATACCATTGGGAGCAAGTTTAGATTATTTCTTATCCTAGAGAACCAAAGGTTTCTTTAGGTCCCATCATATTCATAATCGTTAGTGTTCGAGGTAGTATTATAGCTCAAATATTGACTGGCTGGGGGATGCGCTCCAATAGAACATTGGAGCAAATTCGAATAGTGCAGAGCCACCTGCTTCAGGGTGTCTCTCTATAAAGACAACCGGATGAATGCATAGTCAATGTAATGTGAATGCCACTTATGAACACTTTTATGTACAAAGTGCTGGAAAGTGTCAGGCGAGGAGAGACAGCTAATTGTACAAAATGTTGGTGATCAGCAGGACAGAATCTGCCCATCTGCACGTTCAGGCACTCACGGTCCAGTGTCATTGCCAGAATGTTCAGGGTCATGAAGCAGGAATCTCTCCTTGTTATCCTTCCTGGCATCTTCTGAAGGAAAAGAAAAGACGTCCGTGCCTACCTAAGAATTTTAGTAGGAATTTTCCAACAACTGGTCTTTTTGATGGATTTGTTGTTGTTTAAATTACGTTTCGTCTCATCATCTGTTTGCTTTATTTTACGGTTTTGTTTTGCTTTTTGCCCTTTTGGATCAATGTGCTAAAACGAGTCAAAATTCTTGTGCAAAGTAAATGGGCTTAATGAAATGTCAATGAAGCACTAGCCATGAGTGCTAATTCTTCCTGGGTAGGGCTACCTGGTTTTAAATGAACAGTAGTGAGAGAATTAAGAAAATTTAGCAACTTAGCATGTTAACTGTTGTTATATCCGTGATATTCTTCAAAAGCAGAAAAACCATAATAAAGAACAAATATTTTTGTCTTTTTTTCAGTTTAAACATTCTCTTTGTCTCTTTTCTTTGGACTTTCCATGTAAAGCAATTTACCTAAATATTACTTTTATATATATTGCTGTTGAACTTCCTGCCACTAATGTGGAGTAAAGATCTGAAATTAACAGGAAATCTGGAGCTAATTGTAGACATTGTTTAAAGTGCACTGTTTCAATGGTGTCCGAGTGGTTCTTCTCTCTTGTCTTGAAATGTATGCCATGCAGGAGCAGGGCTAAACTGTGATAAGCTTTTTTTTTTTTTTTTTTAACATTTTTATGTAATGCTCCAAATTACTCTATTTGTAAAAGTTTCCATCTGAGAGATGAATTTTAGTAAATTGTAAAATATGAACAGAATTGAAATCATGTTTCCTGTTTTTCATTCTTATTCTAGACTAAACATATCCATGTATCTGTAATACATGTTATTTTTACCATCTGGGTACTCTTAAGTGTTAGTATCAAATATCAAAAGAGTTGACTGAGTATATGTATGGTAAAAATTAATCAGAACATATGGTACTTTAAACAAAGAAACAAAATTATCACTAAAAAAAATTGGTATTTCTAGATAGGTTATGTGCAATTAGGCAATGACAATCTCTAGTCAACAACATATAAGAGGAAACAATAATATCGGCATTTTAGCACATATTTTGTTTTTTAAACTGCACAAATTAATGTGTTAACATATTTTACAATAATTTGCAAAAAAATTAAGAATTGTAATTTCTAAAGATTTATTTGTGATTTCGGTGAATCAACATATTGCCATTCTATTGTTACTAATGTCTAACATTAATGAAATGCTGTTCAAGTTTTTTCTTTAGTTGTAATATTAATACCTATAGAAGCATTTTCAAAGACTGTTTCATCGAGGAAAGTTTACATGTATCTTAGTCTTTGAATTAAACATTTATATAAATAGAAGTCTTTTATTAATCAAATTATTTATTTAAGTACCAATAATTACTTATAATTTTATAGTCATACCTTTATTTTATGCTTCTTATTTTAAATAATTAAAATGTATTTGTGCCTTTAGATTAGCATGAGAGTCTGCTTTAAAAAATACAACTACAATCTTTATTGATATATTATGCTCCTGTGACAATTGAATGATACTGTCTTAATTATGTTCAGTGAATAATCGCAGTTCAAACTACTTTACCTTGAATACAAAATCTAAATAGAACAAATTATACTGTACAATTTATTTCCACTTATGACAAAACAATTCTTTTGATGAATACAAACTATACTTAATTTGTTCGGTATTGTTCTAAACAATAAAGGCATTCTAGATATTGTTAAAATTGAGTATTACCAGTTGTAAAACAAAGCAACAAAGATGACTTTTTAAAATAAGGTGAATTATTATGGTGTCACTTGGGTTAACATTTTTTCTGCTATATATTTGATTTGGGAACATAAATCATCCTTTATTGTTAATATGATAATCACTGATGAAAATATTGAAACTGAAGTGGTAAAAATAATCTCCATTTCTTAATTTTAAAATATAAGAATAACATTACACTTATATATTAAAATTGCAGTGTTCTTTTTCATGAAGAATAATGTAAACACTCAATTTCAATCCCTTATGGAGGTCTTTTTTTTATAACCATATCCAGAGTGCTTATTCAATAAACTACTGAGTAGGTGAAGATTTTTTTTTAATGAGACTCTTTGCATTATTTATCTTTAGAGATAAAAGATTTATATCCTATTAACCCTTTGAAGCATCATTACATTTTCTCTCACATTGAAATCGCATATGGATGTATTAGCACATGCTAAAATTAAACTGTGGAAAGTCACAGCAATGAAGTAATTCAATCCTTAAAAAAAAAAAATCTTTCAAGAAAGTATTCAACTCATGAACTTAATAATGTTCTGAGATGAAATAATTATATGTGTAAATGAGAAAGTTATAAAAGGACCTATATGTAATAGTTACTGAACAAATATAATTTCCTTCCGGGTCCCTTCACTCCTTATTTAAAAATTGCATTTACTTTTGTAGATGCAGTTATTTTACAACATTATACAATAATACTAATTGATTATTTCTCCTCATATACTTTAATATTATATATAATACTTAATATTTATTTGACAACATTTAATATCCTTAAAAAAGTAGTGCATCATTCACTATAGAATTTTGTCGGTGACTTAAATACATTAGTTGGTACCCTCTCTTTAATTTTTTTTACAATTTTTAAGATTTAGGCCACATGGTGTTCATAATTATTAATATAAAAGTTGCCCGTATAATTCTATCATTGCCAATTTTTAATTTTTTTTGGAAATGAAGACATTTTTTGGTGTCTGTTTTAGCTTTGCTTGGAAAATAATTAACAAAGACAATGACTGTTGGAGCATTTTCCATCACAACCAGGCAGAGGTGAATAGAGGGACGAAGAGCTGAGAGTTTGGAAAGGCAGACTGAACCCCTACATTTTGAACAGGTGAGGGCATAGTGTAAGAAGAGCTTGAGCAGGAACTAGGAACATTGCTTAGATGAAAATTCAGGCCAATTCTACTGATGCAAAGGAGAAAACAGAGTGAAATCCAAAGGAGAAAGTTAACATTAGAACCTATGATTCAATTTTGCAAATAGGATTTTTTTTTAGAGAACAACATGCATTATATGAAATAAATGATACTGTTCAGTGCACACATATTTGTTTCAATTCTTAAAGGAATGTTCTTGGTTTTGCATTTGCCTCTAAACTCTGTTAGGAATACGTGAACTTCTTAGAAATAAAAGTTTTAAAAAACTTTTCTTTTTTTTACGGTATGTGAATTCTATGCTGTGTTCAGTATGCATTAAAACATAGTGTTATTTTCTTTAACTTATATATTCCATTCAAATTCTATATTCTTAAGTTAGTTAGCTACCACAAAGTTTCTTATTGTTTCAATATAGTATGTCCCTATGAAATGCTGTATATATGTGTCTAAACTGT